GACGATGAAACCATGTGACCAGTATAAGTGTATCTGAGCCATTGACTGTATATATAAAGATCTGAACATACAAGAGGGTTCCAAGGATCCAGCAAAGTTTCTGTAAAAAAATAATAAACTAAAGATGAATCTTGAAATAAATAGGATTTATGTAATGTTATATTTTAATCAAAATAACATGCTATATATAACAAATTGTATCTTTTTGTACAATATGTCACCATTTTATTTAATGCTTAAAAAAAAGATCTTTATGTAACCAAACAATAACAAAATGATGCATATAAAATACTCTGGAAATATAAAATGTAAATATAATTTCTTCTTTTTTTGTTGTAGCCTATATATTAAAGGGGACCTATCATGCAAAATGCACTTTTGTACGTCTTTTATACATGAATATGTGTCCCCGGTGTTCCAGGGAACTCACCAAGTGTCAGAAAACACAACCCTCTCTATTTTCCTCCATACCCAAATCTCTAAAAAAGGGGCTGCAACGGATCTGATAAAAACTGATCCAGATTTGAACACTTCTATGACGTCACAGAAGTGGCGCTACGGCTATAGAGTGGCGAAGTCCCTCCCCTTCCGGTGGACCTCCATGGGACCTTATTTCGGAAAAATGATGTATTGAAGTCAATGGAGAGAGAAAGATTATCTTTCGATCCCGTTTGAATTGTGCCACGAATTACACATATGATGTTTGTCAATTTAAAAGATAATTTTGCAAGTCAAAAAAAAAATAATGTGTCGTAAAACTGTGAAGTAACACATTTGTTTGTGTGAAACGCTCAATGACCTACATCTCTGGTCTCACAGAACAACACACATCACCAAGATGGCCGTCACTACTGTCTTGTCAACAAAACGATTGACTACCCTCACTATCACCACAATGAAACACGTCCTGAAGAATGTCATGCAAAGCTGCCTGCCTGCCTTCCTTTGATTCTCTCTGAACTGCCTGGTCTTTGTAATGTTTAATGTCAACCATTTGTGCAGATAGCATGAAGTAGAGAAGATCGCTAGCGTTAGCGTTAGCATTTCTCCCCCGGGCTTAAATTGTGTATGATAGAATGATCACACCGGTGTGACAGTACTCTTCAGAGGGTTCACGAAATATGACTACTACTCTTACTGTTTAACATTTTGGGTTACTTAATGTTACTTCATGTTAAGGCTAATACAAATGACAAGGCTGTAATGCTAACTAACGTGCTAGCTACTAGCTAGCTTGATCCAGACACTCCTGGTCCTTTCATCAGATGGGAAGCGAAAGAACGAGCAAGACCCATTGCTGGTATGATAACAACCTGGTACTAAGCACACAGGCATCTTGTTAAAGTTATCTTATCTTAGCCAGCGCCATATAGATAGATTATATCTATATGGCACTGATCTTAGCTATCTCTTAGTGGAGGAAAACAATTGTGACATCACTTACGCGACTCTGGGATTTGTAGTCTTTCTAGTTGCGTATTTTTCATAGTCTTATATTTCAACAGTTTTACGACAAACTGTGACTTTTTTGACATGGAAATGATTTTTTAAGATTGACAAACATCATATGTGTAATTCATGGCACAATTCAAACGGGATCGAAAGATAACTTTTCTCTCTCCATTGACTTCAATACATTATTTTTCCGAAATAAGGCCCCATGGGGCGGAAGTAGATGGGCGTGACTTCGCCACTCTATTGGGCCAACTCTCTACCTATCAGGGGAATGTGGGGTTGGGCCACGGCCGGCCATTGCTGCTCGAAAGCGCTGGAGACGCTGTAGTACATATGCCAGGCCTGTAAGTGGCGCTGTAGTCTGCCACAAAAGCAGCGAAGAAGACTTCCCGCGCATATGGTAACCATGGTTACCCTTCTGTTTATTCTCCGCTGTGGCTTTTTTTCTCCCTCCCCGAGGCAAGCGTTTGCTCCCGCTGCTTTAATTCAATGCAATCCCTCCCCGTCGAGGCAAGCACTGTAATTCTCTCCGGTTAGTCCACCAGCAGATGACAAACACCCACCTCTCCGCCTCTTCCAAGGAACGAGGGGACCGGGCGACAGAGTTTCAGTTTCAGTTTCTTTCGCCGGTCAAGATGTCCGTTAAAGTTTAAATCCTCCGGACAAAATTAGAAAAGTGCCTGTCAAAGGTCTTCTTTGTTATTTATTGAGCTTTAAAACAAATGAATAACGACTCTATAGGCCTATAATAATATAATAAAACCATAGACTGTATATATAAATAAAACACGGAGGACGGAGATCTTTTTTTCTCCCCCTCTTGACTTGTTCAGAGCACGGCTACCCTCTCCTGCAGGGGGGCGTGGTCTCACAGAATCAGCCCCGTAGACAGCAAACAACACATAGAGCGAAATGAGGCATGGCTAAAATGCATGATCTGTTTGGTATTTTGAAAACAGAAACGTATAAATATACCTTATATAGGTATGGCCCTACAATATATCATTTAAATATAGCATGATAGGTCCACTTTAAGTATCTGTTGTACATCCATGAACAATGTATGTGTAGAAAAAGTGGGGGCAGAAATTAAAAGCTGTGTTGCAATGTGCATGTAATACATTTTTAACTATAACTAAAATATTAAACAAAAATCACAATGTTTAATTTAGGTCACATTTAGGCTCAGAAGTCAGTGATGTAACTAGGGTCTGGACTACAATGCTACTTCAATTGATCAATACAATGTTAACATCACATTTTAAACAGATTGTTGACAATATATATATACACAACATTACTATTTAAAAATATAATGAACTGCGGATGTGGTGTAATGGGTGGCATTCATCTTAGAGAGAGGGAGGAGAAGAAAATAGTCCCTGTGTTTAGTTGCTACGTACAAAGCTCCACCAGGTGTGTGTCACACTTTGTTACTCACCTGTGAGTAAGGCAGGGCTCATGCCCCGTGTCTGGAGCTGACGTGCTCACACACACACACACACACACACACACACACACACACACACACACACACACACACACACACACACACACACACACACACACACACACACACACACACACACACACACACACACACACACACACACACACCACACACACACACACACACACACACACACACAAAATCTTATGTGCATACACTGAGAGTATACTTTAGATTTATATAAGGTTGTTTTTTTATACAACCAACCCAGAACATTTCTTAATTTAATTCTCAATAAAAAGTCAAACTCTGATGGATACTGTAAAATTCCACAACAATAGGTCAAGGGTATATTAAGATATACTTTAAAGTACGTTTATGTGTTGTATGCTGAATGTTAACGGCCGATCAGGGGTTAAACAGGTTGTCGGTGGAAGATTACCTCCAGCTCCAGTATTTCTCCACTGTTATTCTTTCATGCCATAAATACTTTTAAAGAGACAGGAGGCACATTTTTCACAAATGATTGACATTGAATGAGAACATACTGAACAACAAAGTAGAGAACTAACCTTTCCATGAAGGAAGAACCTGTAATACATGACATTCACAGTTTTATTGCGCAGAAACATTCAGCATAGCGAAAATGTATACATTTGTACTTTAAGAGACGGTTGCATTTAGGGTTTTCTTAAATGAATAAAAATATGTGCGGCATTTCTGACAGTCTGTGCTTAAAATCACTAGACATCACATTTTTGCCATGAATGCCCTTTTACTGGACAAAGCCCTGTCAGAGGAACTTGAAAAAACCACACAAGGAATCCCCTGAAGGGCACTCAATACTTACTGTTCTCTTTAGATTTCAGACAGAGAGCTTTTTCCTTAGTAATTAATACTATTTTAACTTTTTGTTGTATTTGTGCCTATAATGGTTCCTATTACTTGTTGTTGCACTGTGATAAGCAAATAAAACATTGCCTTAAATTGTATTTCCCTTTACATGTATTCTTAAGAAATGCATAAACATTATGCGTTACTAGTACGTTGTTATTATTCATTTATTAGCCACTACAGTCGCCTGTATAATAGCGAAGATTTACCCTCTGGAAGGATGTTGTGGTTACAAACTTCTCCACGCCCACAGCATACCGTTTATTTTATATTTAGAACACATTGACCTATATTAATCTAGATTAACCTATATAATAGTCATGCTGGTAGATTTCCATCGCAGACTGAGGCCATTTAATCCATCAGTAGTTTTTACTGAACATTTATATCATTCGGTCTTTCAAAAGTGATGGGAGAAGTACAAATACTGTATACCAAGAAAACAACCTTTATTCAAAATCATCCAAAAGTGAAATAATACATGTGTAATCATTTAATTTACCTGAGTTAATTCAGTATCGAAAGTAAAAGCATTAATTAAGCAATGACTTTGAGTGTTGTATTGTTATTTAAACATTATATTTTAGGATCATAAAGGTGCATTTAATGTTTAAGCAGCCTTAGTGTAGTTGGTTGAAATGGAGCTAATTTTTGCTTCCTTGGTAAGCATTTTATATTAAGTGGGTTTGCTTTTTCTTTATCATTTTATTCCTGGTAAAAACGTTAACATAACTGTTAAATATTTATTTCTAGAAACTTCAATTTTCGTATTTGTTGAATCAAATGCTTGCCTGTATAATGCTTGTAATTAATTAACTGATGTGTATACATTTAAAAACAAGTGTATGCTTTTTTCATATATTAAGTCAAACACCACATTTAAAATCTCTTCTGTGAAGTATTGTGGAGTAAAAAGAGAAATACATAAACAGGGAAAATCAAGTCAAAAACCTGTAGATAAGTACAATATGTCATCTTAAAAGCTACATTACACTATTTATTATTATCAGCTATAATATAGGTAACACAAGAGAGAAAAGGAAAATAAAAGTAGGCCTTATTGTCTCTAAACCTCCACAGGCCTCTGTGCAATGCCCAGACATGTTGCGTGAGCCACACAGTTAGCCCCGCCCACACGGGAGCTCAGCTGATGCAACCGAGCGCACCTCCGGTATAAAACCTCCGCTCGCCCCTACAGCCGGTTAGTCAGTCACGTTACTACATGGAGAAGAAAACGACCAGACGACAGGAGGAGAAACCGGAGCTTCACAAACGGGATTCAGGATGGTGTATACCGCGGCTCTGCTCTTTGGAAACCCGGGGCTTCTCGACCTGTCGGAGGAGGAAAGTGTCTTGGAGATGATCGGGAAATATTTCCTCCAGCTCACATCCCCGGGGAGAGGCACGAACTCCGCCCGACGGGGCAGCGTCGAGAGCTGCGACGAGAGGGACAACTCACCTGGTAAGTTGTTAAAAATAGTTTAGTAAATAAAACGGCAAAAGGTTATTCAATTGATGTAGTACTCAGTTCTTATCGGCAGTCATTTTTTATATTAATGCGATGACTATATTGTAGGATCTAGAACTTTCTAATTAGGCGGAAGAACACATCAGTGAGCTGACCTGATGGGGATGTTTCTGATGTAACTGATGCAGGTCTGGGATCAGCTGATGATGCGTTCACTGCCTCTCCTCTTAGTACTGATATATTCTTTTTATTCTGATGACTCCTGAAGTTAAGTGCACTATTGGAAGACGTCACATGATAAAAGTAGTGACAAAAGTGAAATGAAAGAGCAGGGGTCAATCTCTTATGCTTTGATGTAGTGGAGCTTTGGCTTTGGATGTTAAATTAAATATCAGCAGACATTTAAATATAAAAAAATTGGCTAATTTTGTCGACTCATATTTTATAGGAGTAGAATACGCCAGTTTTATCTCTGCAGCATTTGAACACATATTCTGCCTTAAACGTCAGAACAGTCAAATTTACAATTTTGATTAAAATGTATATTAATTTAGCAGCCAGATTCTCTAACAATACTCTGGTCTCTTTCTACAGTTGCCCAGATGGATGCCGGTGTGGAGCAGGAGCAGCGTGTCCTGCAGCAGGCTGTGACCCGGCACATTGAGCTCTGCCTCACTGAAGCCAAAGCCTCCACCCTCCTCTGCCAGGTGCTGCTGCTGCCGCATCACATGACGGCCCGGGTGGGGCAGGACGTGGTGCGCTCCTCCGCTGATGAGCCCTGCGGCCTCAGGGGCGCCTCCATCAAGGTGTACGTGGAGGGCAAGGAGGGCCTGAAGCCAGTGGGGAGCTTCTCCATCGACCCCAGCGTCACCCCGACCTTTGAACTGTCTGTGATCCTCAGAGCAGATGAGAGCTACGGCTGGCCGGCGCTCAAACACATCTTTGAGAGTGACAAAGTGTTGAAGCTGAGACCGGAGTACCGGCTGGTGAAGAGGAAGCTGTACTCCTCAGCCAGTCCCGTCATCCATGATTTCTACTAAGAGGGAAATGTTAACCCTTGTTTCACTGTTTACATCGTTTTGTGTTTGAATGTTCATTTTCAACTTAATGTTAAATGTCAGGCGACATGCACAAGGTTTAGCATACTGCACTGAAACATGTCTGAGTTATACTGTTATATTTTAGCTAGGGCTGCAACTTACCATTATTTTCATTATCAGTGAATCTGCAGAATCTTTTTTTGATGGATCTTTGGTTCCATAAAATGTCAAAAAGTAGTAAAAATAAATAGCGATTCCAGTTCACAAAGTGATGTCTTTAAATGTCTTGTTTCGTCATCCAAAAACATTACATTTCGTATGATTTAAAACACAGAAAGTAAGGTAGTCTCCATATTTGAGATGGAGAAAACTGCTTTAAAAAGTAATTTAATTAAGCACAATTGTCAAAAAAGCTGCCCATTATTTTTCTGTCCATGGAGTAATCGACCAATCGCACCAGCTCTAATGAAGTGGTGTTTTGTTGTGTTTGAATGTCTAACTTTGAGCCTCAGGTCAGACTGTTGCCTACATGCTGTTGCCAATATAAATACAGTATTCTGCACAGAATTGTTGAATGTTAAAGTGAACACTGTAAACATAAAAACTATCCTCTAGGATTGGGCGGGTCTCACTCCTGGAACATGCTGTACTTGTTATTTATGATTTGTGAAATACATTTTTTTACACTAATACTGCTTTGTCTCAATTCTTGCATTTAAAGTTGACTTGTATAGAAATTACCTGAACATAGTTTACTGTAGGTACTTGTTTGTTCTGTAATATTGCCATCATCATGCCATCAACATAAGATGCTTACGTAGCAGACGTACAGCCAAAAAAAACAACTTTGTGATTTATGTTTAGATCAAATAATCTTTTTATTTAACAAATGTACAACAGAACACATGATCCGTGTATCAGCTACCCAAACACAACACTCAACATGACCCATCTCACAGGTACAAAACGTGTTTTTGTACTCCATCTAACACACATTACACAAACAGGTTTCTTCTGCTATCGGTAGCACAGCCTGGCTACATGCTCAGTGACAAGCAGGGATGCATCAACACTATTTCAGCAACAACAAACTCCACATCCTACTTTTCAGCCCATTAACACACTCAGTGAAACACCTCATTTACATTACAGCCAATTATTTTACAAACAATAGATTGTGTTCTTCTGATCCCTACCTTCAAACGGTTTCCATTCATCTCACTACAGCATAAACAAAGAGCTGTGAACAATGCGTTTACTCCCTGTTAGTTTTCAGTTATCTTTACATGGCAGGTCCAATTTAACCACTTTCACCAATAGCTTGCTTGTTTTCTGTACTTTTTTTTGGTAATTTTTTTTAGATGTTTGGGTTATACTTGTTATGAAGTTGATTTATTTAGACACATTACATCGTCTCTTGAATGAATGGAAACTCAGGTCCTTGTTAGGGTCAAATGAAAACATGTCCTTTAGGCGGCTAAAATATGATTTGCTGCTGCCACTGTCCACTGCAGTCCATTACTCCGCTTCCTGCTCTGTTTCTCCGGTATGCGTGCTCCATCTACAGTAGGTGACTATGTTGAAGTAACTCCTACAACCCTACTTCATAACATCCAAACTGTCCCTTTAATAAAAAACACTCTTGTTCCATTGATGGAAAGTGCAGCAAGTCCAGTTATAAAGATGTGAGATACATTTAAAGTGATCAATTTAACAGAACTGGAAATAGTAGTAGTATTTTGAATCTGTACATAATGATGTGACGTTTCAATCCTGGTTGCTGTCATGTGTATTTTTTTCAGCCCACGCAGTCACACACAGTTTGGTGCAGGGCACTCACAGAAATCACTCAATCAACGGACTTAGTATTAATGCATCCACCATTCAACGTGATCAAATCCTGGTCATTCGATCGCAAACAGACTTTTGCTGGTGAAAATGTTTCTCTTTCCCTTCTCAAAGTTCTTCAGTGTTCCATCTCAGCGGAGGGAAATGATGAGCTACTACCTTTGCTGGTGAAATGATACTTGGAGGAAAGTGGAGTGAACAGGGGACCTGTGCAGCTCACACACACACTGACACATACCATCCACATATACTCAAAGTACAGATAATTAAGTGTGTACATATACACACCAGGCACACAGAGATGGCACAGTCCTCTCCAGAAAACGGTGAATATTCAGCTCCACCTTCTGAGTCTTTCTAAGTGTCTTTTTCTCTGAAATCAGTTCATTTCTTCATTTTGAGGTCGGCCTCCATGGCACTACGGCGACCTCTGGTGCCTCCGTCCTGCAGGAGAGGCAGAGCAAGAGAAGAAGAGAGAGCAAGAAAGAGAAGTTCATATAAGGCTGTGGAGGTCAGAGGTCAGCTGGAGAGAGTGACCTCTGCAGCGGGCCTACTCACACCATTGAACTCGCAAAATAAAACGGTCCACCTTGGGAGGCGTCCTTCCCAAATGAAGAACATAAAAAATGAAGATGACCAAAAAAAAGAAAACACTTTGAAAAAGAAAATAAGGAGAAATTAAATTAGAACATGCAGAGACACGGACAAACGCACGTTAACGGAAAAACACAGGAAACCGGGATGGGGTCAATAACCGAAGGTTGACGGAAGCTTTGGTGATGAGAGGTGACTGGAGCCTGTGTGTGAGTGTGTGCGGTGAGGATGTTGTGTGAAAATAGAACTTAAAGTGTATAGTGGTGACACTGCAGTGTGTGTGTGTGTGTGTGTGTGTGTGTGTGTGTGTGTGTGTGTGTGTGTGTGTGCACGTGTGTGTGTGTGACTTGTGTGTGAAACTGTCAAAGAGATTGAGATACAAAGAGGCCCTTTATTTATCCATACCAAACAGATACACAGCCCTGATGGTCTGTTTATGTTTCTCTTTACTTACTGCTGCATATAGAGTGGTGCAGTTAAGACATATGTGGAAGTTAGCATAGCAACGGCTCCCTAAACTAAAAGCCAATAGGGTTTTTACATTGGATTTTGGAGTATAGCAGAAAATGAGCTTGACACACGCCAGTTTTAAATTCAGTTTTTTTTTTTTACATGACACTTAAAAGCGGCAGTGTTTACTGACATATTGGTGTCTAAATCTCCCATTTTCCATAACCCATTTCTGGGTTTAGGACTCATTCCTGCCCCACTCTATTTGACACTAAAGTTTAGTACCCCTTAAAGTTAGACCAACATACCATTTTTCTTTTTACAGCGTTTTTAAAACCTGACTAGATATCTACTTCCACAAAGAGGAGACAAACTAGAATAACCATCTTTTTGAAATGCCAGGAAAAACTTTTTTTCTGGCTCCTCACTATGAGGCGTGAAGTCAATTCATGTCTGTGTCTATATTTTTGCCTTAGCTCTTCTCAGCTCTGATTGTTTCCTATGAAGTTAACATTTAGTGTCACAGAGGCTTTAAGTCAAATTCTAACTAGATATATAGGAAATCTGTTTCCAAAGGGATTTTTTTTTTGTTGAATATTTGCATGTGCATTATTATAGTTTAATACCAATAATAGTAGTCAGTTAAAATGGCTCAAATCATGACTTAAACACTTTCTAGTTTTCTTTTGGAGTAGTTTTGCTTCCTTAAATGGCACTAAGATAGAACTGAATTGAAAAAAAGAGGAAGATGAGATGAGGCGGAGACAGATGTGTGTTATATATATATATATATCATGTGTGTGTGTTTGCGTTGAGTCACTTGTGTGCGGAGCGTGGCACGGTTCTTGTGAAATCTGACTGAGCACCTGAATACTTACAAAGAGAGAGAGAAGGAAAGCAGGAGAGGCCATTGGGACACTGTCCTGTAGGAGGACAGACATTGGAGGGAGAAGGAGAGAGAAAACACACACGTGCGTGAGAAAGCAAGTTCCACACAGGTCTGCGTCAAAGAGCGCACACACACACACACACACACACACACACACACACACACACACCACCACACACACACAGCACACCACACACACACACACACACACACACACACACACACACACACACACACACACACACACACACACACACACACACACACACACACACACACACACACACACACACACACACACCACACACACACACACACACACACACACACACACACACACACACACACACACACACACACACACACACACAACACACACACACACACACACACACACACACACACACACACACACACACACCTAAATTAAATATAAAAAAAATCATGAGAAATATATAAATGAATCGTTTGGTCTATTAAATGGTCAAAAATAATCTAAATTGTCCAGCCCAGTTTTTTTTAGAAACCAAGGGGTTGTCCATACATATCTTTTTTTGTCAGTACAAAACTAAAAGACATTCACTGTAAGGAGTACATGTTTAGCTAATTGATAGGTTAATATACATTTACATGTTTTCTCATACTGCCTGTGCTGCAGCAGCTCCTTTTACCCTCTGTCTGAAACCAGAGCCCAGTCTGCTCTGATTGGTTAGCTGGCCGGCTCTGTTGTGATTGGTCAACCGCTTAGAGATGTCCCGCCCCTTAGCCTATCACGTACAATGTGTTGGAGAGAAATGTCCAACGAGGCGTTCTGGGGCAGCATAGACAGGTCTTTTCTGTGTTAGAGTTGTACTCCCTACAGGGTGTACTTTGAGGGTTTGTGACTCTGCAGACCGTTTACATGCAGGAAAAACCTTCATAACACAAGGGGACGGGTAATAACCGGAAAAGCATGACATGGGACCTTTAACAAAGGAGTCCAATGGAGGCGTTTGGGGAGTGTTTAGAAGAGAAACTACACTTCACTGTAACTATTATTCTTGTATTTAAACCTGTTTCATTCTATTTATTATTATTTTCCATTTATTTTTATTATTTTGGCTTTTTAATTATTATTGTTTAATGTATTTACATGTAATTCTATAATGTGTTTCTTTAGCACTATATCTTAATGCTTTTATTTGAACAAATTGTAAAGCACTTTGAATTGCGTGGAGATGTGCTATATAAATAAACTTGCCTTACACATGACTCCATATTTTAGAGGCTGAAAACAGCATTTTCTGCAACATTTAAAAAAAAAAGAGGCCTATTTTTTTTTCCATGGATTGCCTCAATAAAATTATACTCTTGATTAATCTCCTATTTTAACTGCAGCTTGCTGTAAAGAATAAGCCGGAAAAAATATTGAGAAATTAACACATTTGTGGAGCGCTTTTAAACCAAACAAAACGTAAAATCCCAGATCTTCCTAGTCTAAAACAGACATTTCCACATTTCATAATTAATTACAAATAGCCAACAGGAACTACTCAAGACTCCCAGAGGACAGAGACAGAGACACAGACAGACAACATGAACATCCACACAGACAGACAGACAGCAGTTAGTGAGCAGAGCAGCAGTTAGTGAGCAGAGCTGCAGCCAGCATGCAGGACTCAGCGGGGAAGTCAAGACTGGGAATATTTCCACAGAGGCACATCGTCTCGAGCGACAGGAGATAGAAGCAGATGTCTCAACAGTCCCTGAAGTCAACAACACTGCATGTAGATATATTACATGCTGTGATCGTCACGCTCTCTGAGACATTGCCAGGTTTGCCACACTATAGGCTTGCGTCACTGGCTCTGCTGAGTGACGATAAACATGAACAAATCAGTGAGGCAACATTCAGTTAAGTAAGCTCGGTAAATCGACAAAAAGGAGAAGTCAGCTTGTCGTTTCAAAAAATTGCAAGTCATCACCCTAAAACCTCCTCATATCAAGTTGGATGAATTGATACAGCAGAATAATTAAAGTCAGAATATTTGCTTTGATAAAAACATGTTGTGAATTTTGGAAAATGGAATTGGAATTGACTTTCAATCAATGTTTGGATCACACAAGTTAGAATCCTACGCAGCGTTTCCCAAAATTAAATTCTACACATATTATAATCTTACGGTAGCCTAATCTTTTACTGAAACTGTGCAGAAATACTGGATTCAAACACATTCATTAGACAGGGACATTCTCCCATCTAGAAAGAAACAACACAAATACTTAATCAGTGGTGAATACTGTCTGGGAGCAAGTATACAACACTTAAGTGTATATAGAGGTGTATAAAGACCCTTCAATCTAAGGGCCCCTTATAGGATGGAGCTCTTAATCTATTAACAGTTTAAAAGACATCAAATGAGGCAGGTGTCTCTTGAGGCATCATTTAGTTAAAATATAAAAATATAAGGTACATTTAAAAAGATTATTGACTTGAATGAACAACTATGGCACTAAGTTCGTCACATCATATGACATATCCAATCATCTTTCCTTTCAACAAACCATCCACAACATAAGTAACATAAGAAAAGGTAACATTCTGCTAAGAAACAGGAGTTTTGTAATAGATGGGGTGTTCCACTTCATACTGTATATTCATATTTAACATGACATCGGCCCTAAAGTAGAAGGGCTATAAATGGACATCATATGGTCTAAAGCTGAACAATATAAAAATGTTTAACCAATATTACTGTTTCCAATTCAAACCTCCATAAGTCACCAACTGCTCTTTTACACTCTGTATGTCCACTTCAAAGTGTTGAATAAACTCTCCTGAGACGAGGTTTATTCTCACAAAGTGAAGACACTAGATATCATTTAAATGCCATGATTTTGATACAGCAGCCAAAACTGTCTTCCTTGCTCACTGTTGATATTCTGACCCTCAAAGTTGAATTTCAACAATAACAGTTATATTTTTGGATAGGGAGGATAATGCATTGCTTCATCAGAATCAGCCTTTGTTCGACACTCTGCCAGACGACTACGTGACCCCTAATTTACCTTCTCGGCCGGCTCTCCGGGCTTACGGTTGCCCTCCCTGCCGCGGAGGCTCTTGGCGGAGATGGCGCTCTCCGAGGTCTGCATGATGAGCTGCGTGGCCAGGAACTGCTGCACGTGCTCCAGGACGTCCCGCTGCATCTCCAGCGCCATGTGGAACACGTCGTGGTCCGACGAGTTGTACATGACGGCGTTCTGGAACATCAGCATGATGTCGCGCTGGAACTCGGCCGTGGTGCGGATCACGCCCGACTCGATGTTCTTCTTGATGGCCGACAGATCCATGGGTCTGCAGGGGGAGGGAGATGTGGTTATTAAAAACATGAATAATTACCAATGTTATTACACTGTTTGATAAAGATCATTATATTTTTGAGCTATGGAAAAAATGCAGTACATTTATTACAGATTCTGTGAGAATATATTGTTTAGATAACATGTGTGTGTCTGCTAGATGTAATTTCACTAAAAAAGCAAATTAGTGTGTGCGTGCGTGCGTGTGTGTGTGTGTGTGTGTGTGTGGTCTTACCTGTGTACAATGCTGTGGTAGCCAGGGGCGATGTCATCTGACACAGGCTGCAGGAAGACACTGGCGTACCTGAGAGACACATGAATCTATTAATAAATGTTATCCTGTTTTCCCATTTAACTCCACATGCATATACGTTCTCTAGAAAAGTCAAAAGTGAAAACTACCAACAGTGAGCAAGAATCTTTCAAACCAACGCAATTCTACTCAAAATCCCAGTATTTAAAATTAGCCAAGGTAGTAGAAAACTAAGGAGTTCAGATTTAGGTTGATGTTGGTTATTTTACCAACATTGGCAAACATTTGAAATTCGCTTTGTTGTTTTGTAAACGTAATGTTTATTTATTATTCTGTTTACGGAGGAAACCTGTCAACCAAAATCTCAAAATACAAAGATCATCTGTTAATAGTATCAGGGCTGTAGCAACCATTGAAGTCCCCATGTCCTTGGTCATGTAATGTCCTCATAAAACAGAATAACAGATAAGAATGTACCTAATTTGATAAATGAAATGCATTCATATGGATCATTCTTTGTTAGACAAGGAGTATCATGCTATGTAATGACCTGAAACAGCTTATTACTATCATGATGGCGAGGATAAGCCTAGAAATGGAGGTAACAAACGATTGCATGTATTTTGGCATTCCTAGAGGCTCCACCTGTGGTTGGCTGCGGCTCTCCACACCAGCATGATGGCTTTCTTCCAGATCTTCTGGGCCTGCACCGCCTCCTGGTCCTCTCCACAGGTAGATCTGCAGCAGAGAGAGGAAGAGGAGACGGGTGAGGGTGACGAGAGGATAGTGAATGGAAATCAGAAGAGAAATGACAAGTGGACGACACGTAAAGACACAAGAGCAACACTTTTGGACCTTATGTCAGCAGCCAAAGACTGCAGACATCTGATTGTGATCTGAGGACACCTACAGCTGTGAGGAAGAGGCCGGGCTGCTGGCCAGAGAGTCCGCTGTGTAGCGCTGGGAGGGGGGGCCGTACCCGTCCTCACTCTCGCTGGCTGCCCGCTCCACCTCGGACAGATAGGGACCCTCCCCCTCCCCACACTCCTCCTTCAGCTCCATCCCCTCGTCTGGGTCGCCATCACTCCCCACCTCCTCCTCCTTCACCTCCTGGATTCAACAACAAACACACATTGAGATTTGTTTTTGATGGTTTTACTATGTTTGGTTGTTTTGCTATTGTATCATCTTGTGACAATCTATAATGAAAATGTATTTAAATATATGTTAATGTTTAATTTTAGTTCTTGTATATTTATTTGTTGTTGTTGTTTTGTGTTGGGAACAGGAATTATGTGAAAGATTGATGTACGTCTATATATAAAAATACATTGCAGAACTGTGTAGGAATGTCCATATTGTTAAAACATGTTGATCTGGGAAGCAGCTTGAGTCCTCTTTCACTCAGAACATAATGACACTAGTTAGTTTACAATTAACCTGAACATCTTACTTTTTTTTTTTACAACACAAGACTGCAAGGAAAAAACAAAAAAGCCCCTAAATGTGAAGCATTGTTGCACAGCACCACCTACTGGAATCTCTGTTAAGGTGTTTCAATGTCTCCAGATTGGACAGAAATTCATTCAGTTTTTAACTGCTGGAATATATTGCAACTAAAAAGTTAAGATGAAATGAATTACAAAATGTTTGTGTTATTTGTATTAGTTTTTTGCCAGGAAACAGCTTTTATGGTTTAGTTTTTTAAGGCAAGGCAAGTTTATTTATATAGCACCTTTCAGCACGCGACAATTCAAAGTGCTTTGCAAAATCAAATAAAAGACATTTAAGAATAAATACAGCAGAAACACATGATGTAATGGCATTTTAACAACAGGCATTTAAAAAGCAAGGGATATCTTTTTTTTTATAGATGATAACACTTTTAGTCAATTACAATACTTTTTGTTTGTTAGAGTGTATGAGTGTTTTACCTTGGACTCTCTCCCAGACACAGAGCTGTCCTCAGAGTCTGTGGGACAGAAATGAGAAGGTGAATAAAAAACCATCATTCAATCTTTATTTAAAACACACAAATAGGCATGTTTTCTCTGTGTGTGTGTGTGTGTGTGTATGTGTGTGTGTATGAGTGTGAGTGTGAGTGTGAGTGTGAGTGTGAGTGTGAGTGTGAGTGCGAGTGTGAGTGTGAGTGTGAGAGCACCCACCGAGGCAGGGGGGGTTGGGCTCCGGCTGGCTCCATTCCTCTCCTTCACTTTTGATCGTGGCTTCAGTTGGATCCTTCCCCGCTGCACCCTCACTCCCTGTCGCACAGTCGTCAGAGGTGACAGAAGAAGTGACATTACTTCCTGTCGCCTCCGGTCCCTCACAGTTTCCCTTTAGCTGCTGTTCTCTTTTAGCCTCAGCTTGATTCTGGCTCTCCATGCCTGCAGGCATCAGGGCCGACATCGCGGCCCCATCCTGAGGCTCCTGAGGGGGGTCAGAGTCTGGGACAGAGGGCCCTGCGTCTGAGGCCTGGGTCTCCCAGGGGCCGGGGAGGGTGTGTCCCTCTGAGCCGGACTCTTCACACAGAGAGAGAGCGGCTTCCACTGCTGCTGCATCCAACGCCTCCTCAGAGTCATCCACCTGGGAGGAAGGGGGAGGAGTCAGAAAATACACTGAGGTAGAACATAATCCTCAGAGTGTTTAGATAACGTGTGTTCCTGTGAGATGTGACGCAGAGATGAAGCAGGTCGACCAAGACGTTAGAATCGCAAGGGTTCCCTCAACACCACTTATATAAAAGTTAAAGCGTCAATTTCATCAATCCAAAGTACATTTCTATTGCTATAAACAAACAACATGACGCATGACTTCACATCACCACCGCTAAGCTAAAGGCTGCTAATATCCGGCGTGATGATGTTTAGTAGTCTCAGTTAGTCACTTCTGAGCAACCACTGTTTTTAATGACACATTTACCAGTAGGGGGTTTATTTTATGTCGTAGAACAAAATGGGAAAATCGCTCAAAACTGTGTTAACCACAGATCTCATTTCAGGCATTAAACTCAAATCTAATTTAAAAAAAACATTAAACTTTGGCTGACTCATTTATGGGGTTTAGAAGTTATATCTGCACCACTCTAAAAGATCTAGACAATGATTTAGAAAATGTTATTATGTTTGATAAGTTGTCCCTACAGGACTTTTTATACCCTCAGAATTGGTCACAACACGTAAACACTAAACACAGGCTAAATTCTCTTTCCAGTGCTGTTTAAATGTATTTTGCCAATGCTAGTAATGCTTTATTCCTCTACTAAAAGAACAACAAAATGGGATCCTGGTCATGTCTGCTTCCAAATCAGACTGATTTGGATTTTTAATAATCATGTACCTTCTCCTCTATGATGGCGATGATGTCTCCGACGGTCTCCAGGTCCAGTTCATCTTCCATGTAGGGCACAGCGACGATGTCTTCTTCCACTAGCCCCTCCTCCTCCCCAAGCTCCGCCTTCACTGCAGCTTCTGCTTCACCCTCTGCAAACACACACACGAGTGTCAGTGAATACATAAAACCAACCTGCATCGTTGTAAGTATCATTATGTCTTTTTTTATTTTGTTTAAACACAGAACCCTGACAGCATGTCTCAATGGAAAATCTAACTACAAAGACAGAAGGAAGTGTGTGTGTGTGTGTGTGTGTGTGTGTGTGTGTGTGTGTGTGTGTGTGTGTGTGTGTGTGTGTACTATGCAAGGTGTGTTTACCTGTGATGACCTCATGAGCCGGTGGTAAGGCAGTGGCTACAGTGGCTGTCTGTACTCCGTTGGTGAGGCTCCCTGCAGAGTCTGTCTCCACAACCTGACATCAATGAAAACAAGGCACACACACAAAAGGAACGTTTTAATACAGGACTCATGGGATTATTACATTTATTTAAATTAGAATATTGCAGTTATATCTGTCTGACTCAATTGTGTCCTGCACACTCAGATTAAATATACAGGCTTTCTATAAATTGATGTCTGCAGTGTATATCTTTGAAGTGTTAACAACCGAGTCCTGCTTGATGCTCCACATGATTTGCTTGTAATTTTCAGTTCCTTGTATTTTAGTTTTGAATGTTATGATCGCAGCAGGCTCTCACCATGCGGGGGCTGGCTGAGATGAGGTTGCCTTTCTTCAGCAGTTCTGACAGGAGAGGCGAGGGCGGCGGCGTGGTCTTCTGGGCGAGGAGCCTCTTCTGCGGGGAGTCGTCCATCAGAGCGACCAGGCCTCCGTCTTTGGGCCCTGACGCATCCACCGCAGGGAGAAACACCCCGACCCCCTGGGCCTGGCAGAGGCAGAGAGCAATCAGGGAGAGGGATCGCCTAAATAAATGTCTTTGCTTTGGCTCAATAAATCAAGTTTATGTAACACACTTTCTTTCATTATTGGCAGCATTCCCCACTGCTGAATAAGAATGTAAAGCAAATGACGTTCTTACAACTGAGAGGGTGGAGGTGGGGGTGGTGTCATCGGAGGCCACACTTCCTGTATCCAGGGACGCCATGGGGATTGAAGAGTCGATCTGAGAGTCCATGGTGGGGGGGCTGGGACCCGGAGGAGAACGCACGGTCACACTGGGCAGACGCTTAGGCGTGTTCTTCATCGCCTGACGAGCTGCGATAGACAAAGGTCAGGGGTGTGTTGAACATTTTTTATGTTTTTAAGTAAACTTTGTTGAAGAAATCAATAACAAAATGCAGCATAGAAAACAAGAGCATGGCATCATGGGAGAGCACTGTCATGTCAGCCCAGGCAGATCAGAGACACAAACTATTTCCCTCACGAAATATACAAAATATTCAGAGAAAGAGGAGGGGCAATGTATTACAGTGTTAGCAGATTTGTTGCTTTTAGACTGGGAAAGCCCTCACTGGAATATTCATTTAACGTACGATTTCACAATGATATGTAAAGAATGTTGTTTATTAGCATTATGAGTAGTGTGTTTGAAACTACTATGAATTCTATGAAATGTTTATCTTGCAAAAACAGAAGATCATATATTTGTAAAGCTCTCTTTGAAAAACCTACCTTGAAACGCTGTTTCTGTGGCTTTCCTTTTCTGTTCTGCTTCGTCCTCAGCCTGCTTCTTCTTTCTGCAGTTGGAAAATCACAATTTATTTCATAGTAAATAGGCTGTTAATACGGGGTAGGATTGTGGCTGAAAGGCAGCAGGGTTGACCTCTCGCATGCTTTGTGATAATGATAACCGTGGGGGTGTCATTGTGCCCACATCCATGCAGAGACATGTTCAGCACTAGATTTGGGGTCTACAGTGGGACAAGGGGAGTTTCTAATTTATAACGGTGTCCAATGTTTTTTACCATTATTTTTGTTGCTTGTCACAATTATCAGACTGTCTAATCTTATTGTTATTATCCTTGTGTGAACTGTCCTGTATTTCCCTCTTATTCTGTTGCTGCTATACACTTGAATTTCCCTATGGGGATCAATAAAGGTCTGTCCTATCTTCTCTTATTTTGCTGTGGTACCCTGCGTTGTAAAATTATAATAGAAAAATGTTAAACAGTCTGAGGATTTTGGTCTGTATTGTATATGTTGTAGCAGCATTAAGCCAACATCAGATAAGAAGCATGGGAGGTTTGGGGGATTTTCTTGGGGATTTTTAGTTGTGAAATAACTGTGGGACAAGTTCAAATGTAGACCAGATGGTGGTTTTGAATATAAGTCTGTTAGAGTATCAAAGTTTTGACAGCATACGGACTGATCCACTCTGAAGATAACATGTTAGCATTTGTCTAATATGAAACAGAAGAGTCTTACAGTGTTATGTCTGCCAACAGCTCCTTCAGCTGGGAGTCCATGTGACCCGTCTGAATCATATCCACATCCTTCTTCAACTTCCTGTCAGGATACAAAAATCAGAGGCGGGTTAATGGTCATGTCTGTGGTCCTCCAATGTGTTTTAAGCAATGTTCCTGTTTGTACCTGTACTTCTCCTGTGTGTCCCGCAGTAGCTTTTTCAGCTCCTCTATCCTCTCTGTGGTTAGCCTACGAACGATGACATCTTCAATGGTTTCCACCACCTCACCCTTCTCACCACGCTTTCGCCTGAAGCAAAGGGGGGCAGCAAGACTTTAGGTCAACTCAAGAAATATTACCAAACAACAGTGACAATACATTATTATGATTCTGCACATTGGTGGGTGGTAGTGTTTTATTGTACTGACTTTGGTGCTTCTGTGGCCTCGAGCAGCTCAGAGTATTGTGAGGCACAGTGCTGAGACACAAAGAGAAAATGTGTTAACCTGAGGCAAAAAAGACAAATGCAAAAATATATATTTCGGAGATTTCTCACCTTCTGTGAGAACCAGTCAGGTGGACGGCCGGGCTCTGAGAAAGGCTTGATGGCTCTGCTTACAGACACCCTGCAAGAAAAGGAGAGACATTCATCAGAATAAAACACACAGGTGTAGAAAACAATGTGAATCATAATGCATGTTTTAAGAAATACATTTGCATCAGGACTAAATAAATACTAAAGTGAAATATTCAGAAAAAAGTTACAATCATAATAGCATTGAGACAGTTTTGTAGAATATTATTTTTTTCCTTATCGATTTAAAAAAAATAACAATTCCTATTTGCCCGAATACACGTTGTAAATATGTAATTGTTTCAGTAGAAATGTCAATGCCAATCCAGTGTAAAATATATAAGTGGTGAGACATAGAATACAAAAACATCCAAACTACATAATTCAAAAAATATTTGGAGTTGAGCTTTAGGATTTAGCAGAGTTCCATTAATTTAATAGATATTTTGGCATGATATTCCAAGAAATGCAATGACTGGGAGGTTTTGGTAAGACAGGTTAGGTTTGTAGAGGTGTTCCAAGACTTTTTGACTGACAAAGTTTGCATAGACAGCACCATTTATAATCATTCATTGTATATAGTTTCACATAATTGAAAACTGAGTAGACGGATTTCTATCCCAGTTTTAATTTAACATACAGCTAGCACAAAGTATTCTTATACCTTTCTGAAAACAAAAACATTTGAGTAGGATTCTCTTCTCACCAGTTTTGGTCTCCACTCCTCATAACAGAGGAGGCCAGGCACAGTTTCTCCCTGACTGACCATGGCTCTGTCGGCCCCACATTCAGTATCTTGTGTTCTGTCGAAAAAGAAAATGAGCAAATATACAGTAAATCACAACATGTCCAGGTAGACGTCTTTTAACTAGCAAATATTTATTTCAGAGCAAAAACAATGAGCAATTCATGTTTACACAGGATTGGAAAACCTTAATGCCAGAACCAATAGATTTGGGACATTTTGCTATAAAAAAAAACAAACACACTCTAAATGTGCACAAAAACACATAAAATGAAAAAAAAACATTACAATTATTGCAGGGATTTATGTCATAGCCAGAATGAGAGACGGTCTGTTTGTTTGTTTTTTTCCGGAGAAATGTCCTTATGCTAACAGATGCACTGTAAGACTGTGCCTCAAAAACAGATAGAAAATTCAGTCTGTGATGCATTTATAATATAAAACACAAGACAGCGGCGCTGGTAAACGGAATAAAACATTGCTTTATTGGTAATCAATGTTAGCTAGATTGCTAGCTTGTTTCGTGTCTAAAAGATGCCTTTAAGAACTATTATAACATGTTGTATTTTAATGTCAACTGCTGGGACTTGAATGCATCCTATGCAATCAAGTATAATTAGTTATAAGCCGTGATTCTGCAGAAAATAACATAGACTTTGCCATCATTTTAGCAATAGCTTTAGCTTAGCAGTGTTGATTACGGGGGACACATTCACGAGACACACACAGAGCTACACGGTATACCGTTTTATCAAACAACACAGATACTGGGTTCAACTATCTAAAATAACCACATTGTTACGATTATGTGTACTGTTAGTTTTCATTATAAAACCAAGAAGATAATTAAGAAAGCGCTGGGAAATATTACTCACTGCCGATACCGCTCGTCATTTCTTTTGTGTTAAGGCCGTGAGCACAACTTCCGCCGGACAGGTTTCAGTGGAACACACAAATGGAACCCAAATCTATGGAAGCCCATTTCCGCCAAATATCCTCCAATTGATTATGTTTATCTCTTTATATATACAGTCTATGGTTTATCTCTAAATAGGCATCACACAATTATTTAAAAAAATGAACCGTTTCCAATATTTATATATATTATCTCAAATAAGGATATTTCGAATAATTTTGACTTAGTAACTCATTTTACTGCCTCAATTACTGGACATAAAAAACCCACTGTTTTCACACACACATGTAAATAATATGTATACATGACCAACTATGTATGTTCATTTTAATTCATTTCTTATTTAATAGTTATTTTATCATTTTTAATTTCTATCTTTGATGTTATCCTTAATTGTATTAATCTGTGTGAATCTGTGCTGTCCTGTTTTTCATCCTTACCCTGTTGCTGTTAAATTACTGCATTTCCCCACGGGGATTAATAAAGGTCAATTTTATCTTATCTTATCAATCAATCAAAGTTTATTTATACAGCCCAATATCACACATTTTACATTTGTCTCAGTGGACTTTAAAGTGTGTACAGAATATGTTAATGTCACCCTCTCTCCTTTGACCCTCACATCGGACAAGGAAAAACTTCAAAAGAAACCCCAAAGTTAATGGGGAAAAATGGAAGAAACCTCAGGGAGAGAGACAGAGGAGGGATCCCTCTCCCAGGACGGACAGGTGTTGTGTGTCAATAACAAATATAATACATTTACAACATAGGTAATCCAAATGCTTGAAAAGGAATGTGTCTATAAATAAGAAGATGATGAATCCAGGTGGATGTCAACAGTCCTGTGGGTGCCATCAAAGAAGGAGTAAGGTGAGCATCAGGCCAGACCACAGCGACAGGCTCAGTCACGACTTCTGATCCAGGACTCAAGATCTACCTTATTATAGACTTCCTATCTCATTATTATTACATTACATTACATGTTACTTGTTAGACGCTTTTATTCAAAGCGACTTACATACTCAATACTGTGGGCAATCCCCACAGGAGCAATTTGGGGTGAAGTGTCTTGCCCAGGGACACAACGACATGCTGACTGCAGTGGGGTTTTAACCACTATTGACGATTTTGACTTAACATCTCAAAACAATGACTTCCTATCTCAATATGGGACGGGAGGCGTGTGGCGCAGTGGGTAGGTGCACTGATCTTCGAATCAGAGGATAGAAAGTTCGAGTCCCACTGCAGTCAGCATGTCGTTGTGTCCCTGGGCAAGACACTTCACCCCAAAATTGTTCCTGTGGGGATTGCCCACAGTATTGAGTCACTTTGGATAAAAGCGTCTAACATGTAATATTACTTACTATCTTATTATTTTGACTGAGTATTTCAAAACAATGACTTACTATCTCTTTATTTTCACACAGTATCTCAGAATCCACTAGCCAGCACTGCAGCTCCAGCATCAAGCCACCTTTATTTAGGGTGGAGTGCAGAGAAAAGGGTCAGGTGGAGTTGAGGACTGCAGAGAGAAGCTGCTCTGTAGTCTGGTGGAAGGGCAACATTTACTTCACCTGCCAGACAGCAGCAGGGTGAACGGGCTGGGGCAGAAGTTGGTATTGACCCAATAACATCAACATGTATAAAAATGTCTCACATGTGTGCCAGAATTTACAGCACGATCATAAACAAATTGTGCATATAGTTGAGGGGCTGTAAGGTATGAGAGACAGCGTCTGGAAACACACTGGAGTCCTTTTACACATGAGGGATGATCAGGAAATAGCTTAATACCTTAAGTGATCATTGAATAATTATTTAATGGAATGGAATGTGTGATTTTTACTATTTTAAGTGGATATACTGTATATCTGCAAATGTAACGTGTCAAAAAATATAGTCAATGCAAGGAAAAAATACAGAAACAAAAAATAATTCCCTTTTAAGCCATTTGTTCCATTTGTGGAATATAATCGGCTAATGGTCCACAGTCAATATTTGACCACATTTAAGAGACCGAAGCCATATAAATGTAAAGAATGTTAGCTGTTGTGTTTGTCTTGATTACAAAGTTATGTGTATAGAGAGGCGAAGTCCCTCCCCTTCCGGTTGAGCTCCATGGGACCTTATTTCGGAAAAGTTATGCATTGAAGTCAATGGAGAGAAAGATTATCTTTCGATCCCATTTAAATTGTGCCACGAATTACACATATGATGTTTGTCAATTTAAAAGATAATTTTACAAGTCAACAAAAAAAAAAATGTGTCGTAAAACTGTGAAGTAACACTTTTTTTTGTGTGAACCGCTCAATGACCTACATCTCCCGTCTCGCACCACACACCAAGACGGCCGTCACCTTGGCACATTTCACTTCTTTCTTTCAGAATGAGGCGAAAAGTATTAAAAGAGGTGAAAATCACTACAAGTCTGGGCATGTTGAGAGCTGTACATACACAAAAGGGGAGTTAGTCGGTTCCGTAAGAGCCAGCATGCGGGACCGGGATTCTGGGATTTGTAGTCTTTCTAGTTGCGTATTTTTCAGTCTTATATTTCAAGTTTTACAACAAACTGTGACTTTTTTGACATGGAAATTATTAATTAAGATTGACAAACATCATATGTGTAATTCGTGGCACAATTCAAACTGGATCGAAAGATAATCTTTCTCTCTCCATTGACTTCAATGCATAACTTTTCCGAAATAAGGTCCCATGAGTCCCACCGGAAGGGGAGGGACTTCGCCTCTCTAAACTCCCTAACACAACTAAAGGCTTCACTGTATTCCTGAAAAAAGAAAAAAACACAAAACCAGCATTTTTAATCATCTCTATTTAGACAGAAAAACATAAACTTTGACTGCTTTTCTGTGACTCTTACCTGAACCTGTGGACATTAAGAGAAAAAAGAACGAGACCATTCACAACAGTTTAAATATTGGCAGTCTTTATTTTAACAAGACTAAGAAATGTTGTTTAATATACATTTTCTCTTACAATTGAACATCTATCTCATCGTGTTTTTCCATAACATTTAGGAGATACTCTGACAAGTAAAAATCTGGTGTACTGTTACGGCCTCTTTTAGAGACATCTAAACCGGCTGTTCTTTATTTACACTTTTTTTTTGTATTCTTCTCAGTCAGTCACTCATTTAGAAAATGAGTCCTTTCTGTTCTTGTGGGCCGAGGGCTGATGGAAGGCTTTCGATACCGACTGAACCTTTAAGTCCCTGGACTCAAGTCGCTCTGCGGATCGAGTGAACAACATCCAGCCGCTGGACCAACTCCCGCCTGCTGGAACATGTTGCTGCCCTGGCCCGCAAGCACAGACATTTACCATCGTCACCGCGACTCTGACTCTCAGAAAGTCGGGTTTCTTCACACTCGACACAACTTCCTCCACATGACGTGAACACATGCATAAGCCCTGCTAGAAATGTAGTTGGAAACACAAAAAACAAACTGGTAACGGGCGGAGGTAACCAAGTTGCGGAAACACAGCTTATCTTTCTTTTTAAATTAAGGCTTCTGTATTTTTTACTTGGGTTGCTTAGCCGTTTTCTCAAAGTCTCATTTTTTTATATCGATGTCCTTGTTGATTTAATTGGTGACATCACTTCACTGCTTTTTGAAAGAAAATGTCATGTAAGTTTTACAATCAACCTGTCAATTTCAAAGCGTAAAGAGGCACAAGCATTATTCACCATCTGTAACTGCGGGACATTTTTTCAGACTAAAGTTAAACAAGCCAATCTTTTTTCAGTTTTTACAAAATGCATATTCAGAGCCCCCAAATCCAATCTAATCAATTAGAAATCAATTATTTCCACCTAGGTTTTGCATATCGAAACATGAATACTGTATTTTGGATCATCTATGTCAGTTCTAAAAGCATGTTTTGCAATGACGTTAAAATACATGCATAAGTTACTATACACAACTCAAGGCAGCATCATTTTAAAGATGAAATAGCAACTTGTCATCAAATTAAAAAGGTATAAAAAAAACCATCTTGTGTTGTGCTTGTCAGCTGTTAACATCCTCAAGATATGGAATCCGAGCAGAGAAAAAAAAAAAACATCTACATTATAATTTCTTTACCTCAAGAAGTTGCTGATAATGTACCAAGGATAAAAAAAAGAAAAGATCAAGCACCATACATTGCATTCAATTTGGTAGCACTCGTGACAATACTTCAACATTCCACCAGCAGTAGAAATGATGAGGATGAGGATAGGTCGATCAAATGAGTCCGTTTATACCCACGCACGCCGCTAAAGAGGCACGAGTGAGTATTAAGGAACGGGGGATGTTGGCTGACAGAAAAAAAAAAACGAGCACCAACAAAAAGGTGCACACTAACCGAAAGTGCCCCCGATATCTGTGCACAGCGTCCTCTTCCACCACCTAAAAAAAACTAGCAGTAAAATCCACTGTAGTACCTAATATATATCTTCATACCAAAAATAGCTAAACATTACAACACCTCTTCAACATAAAACCCTGTATTAAAATAATCTTTTTCTTGATTTCATTTGATCAAAGCACTGTCTTTTGTTTCTCTTCTCTAGTTTTAATGTGAACATACGTGTCGCCGCCTTTCTCTTGTCATACAATAAGACTGTATAGAGTCAGATCCTCCCGCGCTGACCTGAGCTTTACAGTACCAAAAAAAAGGGGCTTTCAGGACTTGTCAGCTTTTGCCTTCTCTAGGGTTAATGCCAGGGGGAGTCGTCCTCCTCCTTCCACGCCAGCTACCTTTCACCGACTCTATCAGACACTTTCCACTCACTAGCTTGCGTTGACGATGAGAGCATGCATGAGGTATGACCCTACGGTTGAACTGTTTACGCTGAGGAAACAAATGAAGCAAATGAAAAGTTGTTGTAATGCTCAAAACAGGCTGCACTTTAGGCTTGCTCCCAAAATGCTCTTCTAGAAAATGATTCCATCTCCGGGTCAAACATAAATACCTGTGATGTCACTTCTATCGCTGTATTTCTGAGAATTTACTTAACCGTCTCTCCAAAGCAAACAAACGCTTGGACTTTTCTTCAGTTGAGGCTTGTAAATGGCACACACTTTGACAGTATGCGTATCTAATGATTGTTTTGAATTGTTGATTTATAAAATCAGATGATTTGTTGATCTCCGAATAAATGAAAGAAAGAGCATCCTCAGAAATATGAAGATATGTCGCACCACAGGCACTCCATGTTTAACCAAACATCTGGCTCTACTAAGATATCCGATGGCAATCATTGAAGAAGGCACACAAGTGTATATGAGATTAATTTGCCAAAACAAGTATATGATGTCTGTATGCTGCACGCAGAACCATAGTGGAGCTCCGAAAGAGCCATAAGAAGGTTTATCTGGGGGTAAAAAGGGGGAAAAGGTGTATCTCTTGGGAGGAAATGTTGCTGTACACTGATGTCCTTAAAAACATACAAACAAATAATTAAAAGTGAAGTTATTGTAATATTAAGAAGAGTCTTTCCCCCCCCCAAATGGCGGACAGTCCAAGGTCCTGAAGGCAGTCTTTTTTTAAAGTCTCTCTGACAGTTTTCTCCTTCGCTCCGTCATTTCCTGGTCGTTTCTCTTCCTCTTCCTGCCCAGCCAGTTTTATCTCAAGTGGGGAGCGAGCAGGGCCAGGGCCAGCCCGCAGAGCGCCAGCGCCATGCCCCCCTGGGAGGCCACGCCCCCGTTTGATCTATCTTTGGCCAACACAGGAACCTGGGGTTTGCCGGGGTTCGGCGGAGTGGAGAAGTAGATGTCGTCGCATGGTGGAGAGTCGCAACCGCTGCCGCTCTCCTCATCTCCACTGGTTTCCTCGTCTAGAAAAAATAAAAAGAGACCAGGGTCAGATTTGTTCAACTGGGGAATAACGTCATAGAGAAATAAATGGTGAAGTAAACCCTCCTCACCATTATCAGAGACAGAGATGTCATTGCCGCTGTGTGCAGCCTTAAGCCAGCTGGTCATTTCCTTCAAAGCTGCGATCTGACTGCGGATCACGGTGTCCGGCTTTGTAATGTCAACCTCCACGTCAGGGTTTAATCCCTGATTGGCCAGTCCGTTGGCGATGACAACTGATTCGTACCTGTGTAGAGTAAGAGTCAATATTAGTCAAGATGTTGGATTATGTTACCTAAAATACAGCAGCATTTTGATTCAGTGTGTTTTCGTACCTGCTTTTTGCTGTTCCGTTCCAGCACTCGTCCCCGGCTTCGATCCTCTCGCCTGCACACACCGTCTCCGGCAGTGTGGACCAGAACTTCTTTGCGTGTTTCAGCTTCTTCTTCACGTCAGTTGTCTGAGAAAAAGAAAGAAACTTGTCAGACAGTTTACTTAAAGCTAAGCAACAGTTTTGGAGTCGTGCTTTGGATTGTTTCTCGTCCGTACCAAGCGATCTAAACTGGTCCCGGCGGCGGTGGTGGGCCTGGCGTCGGGACTGTAAGGGCGGAAGCGTCCGTTAAAGCCGGTGTCTTTGATGGAGCGCTTGGAACGGAAGGCCACGCTTGGTTTAGGCTGCCCACATCCTTGAAAAACCTGTGATGAATAAAAGAAACTTAGTGGAAATGATCTCCTCATTTTCTTGTCTTTCTTTTTAAACACAGTGAAATGATACCTACTTTCTGCGACACCTGCATGCTGTTCTCCTGCATGTTCATGATGGCCTCAGAAATCTTAACGTCGATGGGATCCATGACGGACTCGAAGTTAAAGGGGCCCTCGAGCCTCTCGGCCAGACTGAGCATGGCGTCTGAAAACCAGAACAGGAGAAATTAAATTAAAAAAGAGAAAAGGACATTTAGTCATTCTTCAAACAAGGATGATGTAACAAAAATCTGCCACTAGGGGGAAGCACACGCCCGAGAGAAGGAGATATTAAGGTGATAAAGAGCCCTCAGATTGTGGCAGAGTAGTAGGAAGCAGCAGAAACCAGACGCCTGCACAAATTCAGGTATCGCTGGTTCATAATCCAGGAAAGATCACGCAGGGCTGTCATGTGGAATAAATATAATACATCCACAGAGAGTGGATACACCACCCTGAGTGTAATGAAACTCATCTGTGTGTGTTTACACAACACAGGCGCTGCATTCATCTTGTGGGTCACAACATGTACACCTCCCTCTTCTCCCCGCACTTATACGAGACGGTAAAGAATGAGGGACGTGTTTGTACATGATTATATTTTACAGTAAACACTGTGTTGCTAGGTTGAAAATGCTCTTGCTTAAGTAGAGTGCAAAAATTACACTTGGGGAAAAAGAATGATACATCTCTTATCTAATTAGCCCCATCATGTCATACTGGTTTCATGCCCACAGGGGGACAGAGGGGTGCATGTTTAGATAAGGCTGAAGAAGATTAGATCACACTTTAATGATTCTACAGTGATATACAAGCGCTGCAGTGGCAACTTGTAAAAGGAACTCAGTAGCAGGGAGTTGTATAAATACACTTTGGTGCCAAATCAAATAGCAGGGCGCACTCTGGGGCGGGTTGGTCTAATAACGGCTGCAGGAGGTGTCCTTGACTTACCGAGGAAATTGTTCCATTCGGTGTCCAAGTCGGCCTGGTTGGCCAAACAGCCGCGCAGCACGTTCAGACAGTAGTTCTGGCAGGGCTTCAGCGCCACTTGGCCCGAGCAGTAGGGACAGTACAACATCTTCATGGCGGCTCGCACACAGCTGGGAGACGCGCTGACCTGGAGGAGGCAGGGGGCAGTTAGCATGCTGTTATCATCTCACCACAGCGAGAACACTCGTCCAGCACAATCCTGGAAAAACATGCCATACCAGAGCAGTCTGTGCTTTGTTATCAGAGACTGTAATGGAACTACAAATGTTTTTTCCAAGATATGAAGTTAGAAACACACAAAAAAAAAAGGACGCTTTCTGGAAATACTTGTCCGGTATCAGGTTGACTGCTTCACAAGCACCTCTAACTTACCGTGGAAACTTTGTTGACCACGTCAGGCATGAGCGTCAGGCCCTTCACAAAGGTACGCGCGGCGACGAATGCACGCGTCAGCTGGATGCGGAGTTTGCGCGGCACGTCTCCGAAGGGCTGCAGCTGCTCCGTGTGCCGGCTGACGCACTCCATGTAGGCGTCGCTGAACTCGTACTGCACGTTGACCAGCCGGAACATCCTCTCCAGGAGGTCGGCCCAGAAGTCTGACAGCATGGTGTCCAGGTTGACAGCGGCGCCGCCCGACACGTAGTACCTGGTCAGCGCCTCGAAGAAGTTCTTGAACAGCTCGGCGTTCTGCACGTACATCATCCCGTACGTCCGCACGAACATGTTGTGCAGCGACAGCTCTGCGTTTTTCAGAAGCTCACGGAAAAACTCTGGAGAAAAGACAGAGGAGGGGAGGGGGGGGTTATTGAGATGACCAAATGCTGAGGCTGCCAATAGAACAATAACATTTTCCATTGTTAACATTTCTTGTCTACAGGGTGGGATCTTTGTTGAAGATGTTACAAAGGAAATGGAATTTGTATGATGGATACCATATTGCTACAGAGACTGATTTGATCAATCTTTAACTCAATGCCTTCTTCTGATTTTACTTGTTTGGTCAAAGTGAATTCACACTTTGGGGGTTTTCCATAACAAAACATGAGGAACCACAAGGTTTTCATCAAGTCATTGCAATATCCCGATTCCAGCTTCACTGCAGTTTATGCAAATAAATAAACCATTGCTGTTGTCAGACAAAATAACATTCAAAAGTAACATTTTGCAAACACAAGGCTGTTTTATAGCACATCTAAAGATCAGGACACCTCACTCTTTGGCGTTATTCATGCACTGCTGCCACCAGTTTAAATCTAGAGTGACGGTTATTCCACTTCACCTGTGCCCATGTCCTGACACTTTGAGTAGCTCAACAGAAACAGCTTAAGCATAACATCTTGGATAAAAAGGCAAAGGAATGTATAGCGGGGAGGGGGACGGTTGGAAAATGGGGAGATGAGAGTGTTTGGGGGGTGAAAGGTGGAGCCGGAGCATCTCTGTCAGGCTGAACGAGGCTCTGTTGCCATTCAGCGGAGACGTCTCTCCACATCAAGCCGCTTCAAACTGACCACCATCAATGGCATTTTTCTGTTGTCACATTCCATTCGCTCTCCTTTCTCCCGGCTTGTCTTGGGACTGTCCTTCAGAGGCATTTTCAATAGGATTACTGAATAATGCGACCCCCGCCCCCCCCCCCATATGTGGACCTGTACCCCCCCCATCCAGCCCTGCATCTCCCTCCCTCCGCTGCTGCTTTCACTTCATCAGTTCCTTCAGAGAGCTCTCTTCACTAGAGACAGGGAACAATGACCTACTTCATCCTGAGGAATGTCCATCACCCCCCTCGCCGCCTTCCCACCCCCAATAATCCAGGCCCCCCCCTTCTCCCACAGACACCACCCACCCCCCCAACTTTCTTAATCTGTACAAAATGAGAATTCCTCGGAGTCTGTGAAAAATGCTTCACCTTCAGTCTCGTGTGCATGCAGGCATTCACTCGGCCCCTTTCACTCATCTCCCTTTTTGATTTTATCCTCTCTACGTCTGCTCCCGTGTCCCCGCTGCAGATTCTCCGGGTGCCCTCTGCTTGGCTTTGAAATGTAAAGTTCCCATGCTCTCAGAGAGAGCGCACACACACACACACACACACACACACACACACACACACACACACACACACACACACACACACACACACACACACACACACACACACACACACACACACACACACACACACACACACACACACACACACACACACACACACACACACACACACACACACACACACCACACACACACACACACACACACACACACACACACACACACACACACACACACACACACACACACACACACACACACACACACACACACACACACACACACACACACACACACACACACACACACACACACACACACACACACACACACACACACACACACACACACACACACACACACACAGAGAGTAGTGCTACCACTTCCACTTCAGACTGACACACTAAAAAGAAAAAATGAGGGGGTGAGGGCGGGTTAAGTTGAGGGCTTTTTTAACTCCAAATCCCCACTGTGTCGCCAAGGATACCGGAAACATTGCAGCCCCCTCCATTTACCTCCCCGCCATCATTGCCCCCCCCCCCCAACCAACACGCACGCATACACACACAAAGCCAGGGGAGAGGGCACCAAGTTCCACGCTCCATTGACAGAGATTAAAACAAAAGGTTTCACCCCCCACCCCTGGAATGTCATAGTAGCCACAAGTTTAAAGTCAGTGAAAGGAGACGAAGGAGGAGGAGGAGGAGGAGGAAGAGGCACGGAGCAGGAGGACAACCAGCAACTTCTCCATTTCCTTTCTGCAGTTTATTAGAGCGGTAATGCCTATATGCTAAACAGATAAGCCCGGTAATGAGCTAGGACAAACTCACTGGTTAAAAAGATTGTAGCCTGTGCAGGGTGTGTGTGTGTGAGTGATGGCAGTATAAGGAGGGGGGGGGGGGGCTCTTTGGCTCAAGCAGAGGGTCTGAAGTATGAGCAGCATTACACAGGCATCTTGCATTGTCATTAAAAACTGTTTATGACACGCAGCCGTCTGCCAACGGGCCGAGGAGCCGAGCACTCCCTCAGGATTTTTTTCCATAAGAAAATGCGCCTGTCGCTCAGCCAAGGGTCTGAGAGAATGTGGGTGAAAGGTTACACTGGGGGAGAATGTAAACTGTTGCGAAAAAAGTAAGTATAGGAGGACAAGTCCTGGTTTCCTGTGAGTATTCCTCCTTCCCTTTTCTCCCTCCCCTCAGCCTGTCATCGTTTCCACATGTTGCCGAGAAAAGGCCCCAAATTATGAGCGATGATTTTAGGCTCAATCCATCACAGAGGAGCTGACCGATCTCCTCCCACTCCTCCCTCCTACTTCCTCCTCCGAGGAGCTTCTCCCCCGCTCCCCCCCACCGTGTCCCTATAAACTCTGCTCCTCCCAATCCCCAGCCCAGGCAGTAATTGCATCCTATTTGTGCCAATTAGTCCCTGCGCTTCTCCCTTTTCTTATGGGATGGGATTCTGTCCCTCCTGCTGTTGGACTTAAGAGCCTTGGATGGATGTCTCTCTGTGTGTGTGTGTGTGTGTGTGTGTGTGTGTGTGTGTGTGTGTGTGTGTGTGTGTGTGTGTGTGTGTGTGTGTGTGTGTGTGTGTGTGTGTGTGTGTGTGTGTGTGTGTGTGTGTGTGTGTGTGTGTGTGTGTGCGTGTGTGTGTGTGTGTGTGTGTGTGTGTGTGTGTGTGTGTCTGGAGACAAGGGGCCTTAATCCAAGTGCTTAAATCCCAGACATAGGCCCTGCTCTGCTGGAAGGGGTCAGTGCAACAGGACAGACAGGCGGAGGCCAGGACAAACACACAGAGAGAGTGGAGAACTATTTCTGGCCCTGGTCTTAATTGGCCATGACTCCCAGCTCCGGGCGCATGATGAGAGCCTGCCTAATCACATACACCACTTCCTGTTAGTGTGTGCGTGTTGTTGTTGTGTCTGCCTTAGTGTACAGATGCAGCTGTGTTTACGTTCGTTGCACTTCTCGTGAACGATTAGCTTACGTCATTGCCGTGAAAGTCCAGCTCGGTAACAGCGATCCAATAAAGAACTTCCTGTGCTAGCTTCAGAGACAGGAAGTGTCTCCTTTAGGGTCTCCGTGTGACAACGGGAAAGAAAAGGATGGCAACCCGAGCCTGTCACAGTATCCAGTGAGAGGGACGGTCTAATGGCCCAGGTGGAAGAGAGCACAGCAGGCTTTGTAAAGAGATACCACATCTAACAGTACCTGCCTACAGTGATTTGGGGGGGGGGGGGGGGGGGGAGAAGGACTGCCCCGACTCAATAGCTGTTAAAGTTTTGTCCATTTCTATGCTTGATTAAATGTTACATTTACAGCCACAATAAAAAAGAAATGTCAAAATAATGATGTTTCTTGTATCAGTTACTCAAAATACAAATAAAAAAGACCCAGAACTACTTCTTTCGTCTTGCTATCTTCTCTGATGCTTAACAGTCAGACAGGAACACATCCATTATTAAATGTGCAGACAATAAGAACTTCACCATGCAGCCCCTGTAGACCAAACGCAACGCGGCTACAAGACATGTGTCTGTCTGTCTTTCTTATTGTGCGTGTACTGCTACGTTCTCAGAAGAAAAGACCACCCAGCAAGAAAAAGGTGAATTTGTATATGCAACTGTACATTACATTTAATGAAAAGATATTGCCAAATTAAGTAGTTAGTTAAATTACTAATTTTGTACATAGAATTTTGGGGAATGTAAATCTGCAATGATTATTAAATGAAAAAGCAAAGGAAAATCTACAAATATTTTCATATTAAAATAAAGACATTTTCTTTTCACTTGTTTTAAACTAAATATTCACTAAAATGTGAATATTTTCAGGTTTTAGTTGTCTCTGTTACGATGAATATATTTGGGTTGAGGACGTTAGACTATGGACATTTTTTGATGTGTTATTTTCTTATATTTTGCTGTCATTTAAATATTAATTACATGAAAAAGAGACGATTGGATTGTGTTAGAAAGCAGCAAAGACAAAAGAAGAGTGTGGCAAGTGAAGACAAGATGTTAGATTGAAGTAATGCATACATTGGTCGACATGAACAGCCAGACTTTGTGCATGGTGGAAAGAGAAGGGATAGTTCTGAGGGGCAAGGAGAGGGTTTTTGGGAGCGTGGGGCATGAGATGGGACAAAGGGCAGTGCGAGGAGAGAAGAAGAAGAGGGGCGGGACGACTCGAGCAGCCACTGCATTCCGACACGTCACATTCCTGTTCACATCTGGCTGCAATACACACTCTCCTTGTTACTGACTATCCCTTGCTCCCTTTCACGGACACATAACATCTGAAGGTCTCTGACCCGCATTTGTACACACAAAACACGAACATAACAAGCACAATGTCTTCAAAAACCTTAAAATCCAACTCTTTCTACACTTTTCTGTCCTTGTTTTCTTGAATGGCTGCAGCGGTGACACCGGTCTGGTGGCCGATGGTAGTCAAAGCTACCTCGGTGACTCAGCACTGATTCCCATGCTCTCCCACCCGCAGAAGACGGAAACCCGATCCCAATATTTACAGGCGTACACACATGTGCTCACACACAGAGAGGAACAGGAAGTACAGTGAAGACTAAATCTGAAGATGTGTGTGGTCCGTCTGGAAGCGTGCACGTCCCTCTGGAGAGAAGGGGAAGCGGGCAGTGAAGGGGGGGGGGGGGGGGGTGAAGGGGGGCATGGAGGCAGGGGGGTTAGACGCTGAGAGACAGGTGGACGGGCCAACGGACACAGACAGACTGTCTCCGCTCGGGGCAGTGCACTGGCAGGTGGGGGCGTCCGTCAAAGATCATGCAACACAAGTGCAGCTAAGTGGGAAACTGGCCAGCAGCAGCACAGTGCAGGAATGAGTACTAAAAACTGGCCATGAGTTAGCAATTTTGGTTCCCTCATCTAAAAAAATGTAAATTACAGTTTTGGTTAGGGAAAATATTTTCAAAACTACATCCAAAATTCCTCTACTGGTGAATGTCAGAGGCTAAATGAAACCACTAAATGAACATAAGGTAACTTTAGCTTAGCGGTGGTGAGGTAAAGTAATGCAGTTATAGCCTAACAATAGCTTTTTACTTCAGGAGATTGCATTTACAATGAAAAAATCCTAAAAGTGGTATTAATATATAGAGATTATCCTGCTTGACAGAACGTGTAAGTAGCATAAACGTGTGTTTGAGAGCTTATTTGAGTTATAATGGAACATTTTATGAAAAAACCCCATTGCTTTTTGTCGAGGGAACCCTTATGATGCTCACTACGTCATCCTGCCCCACTCTGTGTTCGACACTGGCAGCACATTGTAGTCTGAAAAGTGGCTGGTGTGTGTTTGTTTGGCCGAGTGTGTTTGCTTACTGTCAAAGTGGTCGTGCCTCTGTCTGAAGGTGGATTGTAGGTTGGTGCTAAGCCTGGAGACGGGAGCTTTGATCTCCGTGTGGCTCTGCTGGCTCAGCTTCTCCTCCATCTCCACCGTGCAGCAGGAGAAACCCTGCGGACACACTTTCAACGGGGCTCCTGGAAGAGAAGAGGAGGGGACTGTTAAACTCTGTGATGAAGGAAACTGTCAACACGTTACATCAATACAGAAGATCGGTTTTGTTAGAATAAAATCCACACAAAAGTGGGGATTTCATTAACATAATATTCCAGAAGCTGTACACCTGTAAAGTGGCTTGAAATGTCTGTGAGATTATTCATTAATGCCCAATTTAAGTGGATATTTAACTTGTTAGAAACACATTTTTCTTGATCATTAAACACCTTTCTTGCCTCTTTCTGGGATTAAACCTTACAACCGCTGAGCAACAATTTCACCTCTCCCAGAATCAAACGCACCTTGGCTGTGAAAAGCCCCTTAACTGCACTTAAGTGGATTAATTGCAACACTCTGCTCAGAGCGGTGTTTAGCAGAGCCACTTTATAGAGCCCCACTCTTATCCTGGCACTTCCCTGTCCTGATTGATAGTTCAGATCTGTAGCTTTCTCTGAGTGCTGCGTCCGTCTAAAACACAGACTTTAAGAGGAGAGGATTAGCTCTTCTCCCCCTTTATGGGGAAGAAGGCCGACTCTAGCCATGTGAAAGTTGATGCAGATAAATGTCAAGAAAGGCATTTTTTCTACATTTCTTTCTATAAAGAATCCACATGTTGTATTTCCATGTGATCTCAAGACACCTGTCGAGATCCATTGTTGCCGCTCTCTTTTTGAATGCTTGCTTTGTAAACAGCAGCGGTTCACCTGAAGGATGAAGTGTCGAGGCGCTGTTTTCTAAGTGGCCCTAAGATGCCAAAACAGGAGAGATGTGAAGTGTTTTCCTTTTTTGGAACTCCAGCGTTGTTGGACAAACGTAACATTTTTAAACAGATCTGCATTAGCGTGGACTTGGAGCGGGCCCAGGATCGTAACACAGTCTACTCTGAGCCTTTGCTATTGTACAAATCTTAAGTGCCGTCTTTGATGGAACAGCGGCTGCCAAGTTTGTCAAAAGCAAGTTTTACATCCAATTAAAAAGGAGGTTCAGGGGAGGACGAATGCGAAGTCGCAGCTGCAATAATGTTTTGTTTTAAACGTGGCTGTTGGAATTCAGAGAACACAGGGATCCTTTCAGCGCGTCCAGGCACCAACGGCATGTTTGGTTTTCCCCACCAGCTCAGCTCACTGACTCCAGGCCTGTGTGCAGGTTACTGCTACTGACAGGGCGTCCATGTCACACATTGACTGGAGCTTAACCTAAAACTATTAAATTACCTTCATTTATTTAACCCAGACTAATCAAAAGAGATAAAGCTCACTCTAGGGTATAGATGGTATGTGCAGTCAAATCTGTTATACATGATCACTGTATATGAAACCTTGAGGTGCGACAGCATTTTTATTTGAAGCTACTCAAAGTTAAATAAACCGGCGTTTTTAATTTTTTTTATTGAGATTTTCTTCTGAACAATGGTGAACCGTTTTGTTAAAACAAATTATTTAACAGTTTAGATCCAAGACTTTTCCTTTTAGTGACAGAAACTACATGATATTTTATGTATTTTGTAAAGCTCATCGTCTGTTATCTCTTGTATTCCAGAGTATTTTATAACATTAAACTAAACTTCCCTTCATTGCTTGCACTGTATATTTGGTTCAGGCTGTTATATTTCCTCTGGTTTGATCACCAGTACACGCCTGTGGGTTGTTCCGTTACCTACACTGCTTGTTGCCATGTTTAATATATCACCATAGCAACCCGAGCCATGTGGATTTTTTTCCAGGTGACATCTTGAGTTTGTTTTCATTCTTTTGGTGCACGTAACAGAAAGGCCCGCCGACCTCTATTAGAAAAACAGGACTTAGCTTTTGTGACTTCTGTTGTTTTACACATGAATTGCTCTTCATAGACGATGGGGGGGGGGGGGGGGGGGGGGGAGGTGGCTATATCAGGTTTCTTTTAAAAGTCTGACGTGTCCTGGTAAAAGAATGAAGCTAATCCCACTGCAATCTAGGTCTCCCTTTAACCCTTTCATTATCCATTCATCCGCATATTATTTTCTGGAATGATTGTTTGTTCCATTAAATGTCAGAAAATGGTGAAAAATCCAAGCCGATGTCTTTAAAAGGTCTTGTTTTGTAAGTCCAAAAGTCCCCTAAAAATCTGTTAAATTATATTAGAAACAGAGAAAAACGGAAAATCTCATTATTTAAAAGGCTGAAAAACGATTTTCTTCCCTTTTTGCTTTATTAAAATACCTAAACATTTAATCCTTTATCAGAATACTTGGTGATTATTCTTTTGGTGATTGAGTATTCGATTACTCTACTAAACATAGCAGCTCTAAGAACAACACATACCCTCTCAGATTGGCCTATCCACAATGGACATAAAACTGAGCACATACAAGTGTAGCTCCAATGGTGAGAAATTAACTGCAGGGTCAGAAGTGACTCATAGCAATACAATGATATAAACAGGGCACCAGAGGGAGGGATGCACCGTGGCGCCATAAAGTGGACCCCTTCGTCTGGGACCGAGTCCAAATAAGTCACTCCTTCTCTCCCAGTCCTCTCCCCAAACTCATCTCTCTCCCCCTCCGACCCTCACCCGCTCCACCGAACCCCCTCCTACACACACAGTCGCACATACCCAGGCACAGTTGGCAGCCCCTACCTAAACATATTCACACATCACATCGCTGCTCAACACATGGCTCTTTGTACCAGCGTGATTGGAGGTACAGCAGGCAGCACACACACACACAGAGTGGACTTTTTAGGTGAAACAGCGCTCCAGTCTCTCCTCCAGCAGGGCCCCCTGCCTGCCCGCAGCACAGGCCTACAATCAAAAGGGCTGTATCCACATGGAAAATAGCCCTAGTTACCAAAGTACACAAATAAAAGTGAGATGGTCAATATTTCACAGGAATGTCTGCACAAATGTCACATTGTTAGCTCAAAGGATTAAGTCTCGGAATACTGAAGATTCTTAGCTAATGCATACTTTGTGAAAACATTTTGGCAGCCAATTTCTCAAACCGCTGGGAGAAAAATGTCTGGAACACAAGAGAGCGAACGAGAACGGTTAGATCCTATAAAAATCATCATCACGCCGGACTTTGTGTGACACGTTTTCACTGTTTCACAATGAGCCTCGTCAGTGGATGCACCGGTCATTTTTCTACCATCCCTGGCATGAATAGTCTTTGTGTGATGGGTGAACTGGCTCTCTGTGGCCCTACAGATTTCCTTTAAGGGGGCCTCTCACTCCCCCAGCTTCCCAAGCACTCTAAGATGTAATAAGACACAGGGACAGAGCATTGTCAGAGTGTCGCTCAGGAGAGGAAAACTGCCATTTATGGTGGTCAAAACAAGAGAGCAACATCTTGTAAACAAACATGTGACTGTGTGTCATGGCATTCATCAGCTCTCCACATCTCCCTGCCTTCCCTTTGTGGGGAGACCACCACCCCCTTTTAAATGGCTCATAAAATAAGTCACTTCCCTTTGACATTGTCCTGCCTCTCAAACTCAGAGGAAGGATGGTGGGGGAGGTGAAAACGCCTCACAGACAAAAACCAGATTAGACACCTCGCCGCCCCCTCTGCCTGCCATCATGTGCCTCTGAACCAGACAGACCTCAGGGTGCAATCCCCCCCCCCGGCCTCCACCTCCGCCTGGACCGCCACCACCCTGCAGGCATAACCAGCGAGGTCAGGGGTTAACAGCCACTCCTCTGAGAGAGGTCCTGTCCTCTGACCCACCCCCCCCCCCCCTGTCCAGCAGCCATCCCATCCACCACACACAGTAACTCAGCCCCCAGTCACTCCAATAATAACACCAGCAACACACATAGGAAAAAACGTAATTAACAGTCGTAAAACTCCAAACACATGCGAAAAACATAAATAGAAAACCTTCACATGTACCCCAATCTGAAGCCGTTAAAGTCCCTGGAGGATTATTTCCGTACTCTTTTGAACTCATCACTGAAACTGCCAAGGGGGCCATGAAAGAGGCCACGGGGGGACCGCATGTCACGAAGCATTCGCCGACGTCTGTCACTAATTGGAGCCTGGTGGTCTGCGACTCAAGCAAACGTTCACACGGGCATCAACATTTGTAAATAATTAAATGATAAACTGTACGCTGCTCACAGTCTATGTACATACTAATCCAATCACAGCGGAATGTAGGTAATTTGAGACGGTGAATAATACCGGGGCAATTTCATCTCAAAACATGGGAACGTATTTCCAAGTCTCTCTGATTGATCCTCAAAAGTCCAGAGTTTAAAACATCCCAAAGCATACACAGAAGTGTAAAGAACAACACTTATACATTCAAAATGTTGTTTATTAATCTGCATATTATGCTCCCTGCTGTAACATGTAAGGCCCGGACACACCAAGCTGACACCAAAGAACTGACACAGACGGACCCCCGACTGTTGTGTCGCCTCGCGTCTCTGCGTCTTGGCCATGTGTCGCACTGGAACACACCGCAAAGACTTCAGCCAACGGCCAAGTAGCACGTAGGAACTGCGCATGCGTGAGTGGCAATAACTCTCCTTACCAGCAGGCTGCGGTAGTGTGTATTCGTCATTCAAAAGAGGCAACAACCAGAAGACAGACTGCGTGATAACCGAGAGAAGAACAGACTGCGTGATATAAACCAACAACAAATAGCGTGTGCGTTCCATTTTCACTCTACAGCGAGAAGCTCATGGGGCTTTCCCGAACCTGTGTCGAGAGCTGGAGTTAAATGAAATCTCAGATTTGCCATCTTAATAGTTTGTTTGGGTCCCTCACTTCCGTTTCGCTTCTCATGCACTGATTCGCTAGCTGAACAGCCAATCAGAGTGATTTCTTTTGCTGACTGTTTTCGGCCGAAAAGGTGTCGGCACGGCTGAAAAGACACGACGGTGCGGGACACACCAATCTGAGTAGGGCGTGTCGACGCTCATCGTCGGCCTGACGCCCATCAACGGCCAAAACCGGCTTGGTGTGTCCGGGCCTTAAAGGTTTGCCAGTCTGCTG